GCAAAAAGTTTTAGCTTTAAATTAAGCCTGTTTACCTTCAAAGAAAACTTTCTAAAAGCCACAGACAGACTCAATTAAAGGGTATAAAACTAATTACATTTGTTTAAAGGGATTAAACCTTTCCTGTTGTCTTTTTTCCCCTTCCCCCACCCAAACCACATTAATAGCCTCTCTTCTCTTCACCCCCCCCTTTTTTCTTCAGTTCACCTCCAGCTCCGAGCTGCTTCTGGAAGCGTCAATCAGCTAGAGCCCTGCCGGCTTCTGGAGCTTCTGCCGAGCCCAGACAGTCCTGCCTCTCCCTCAGGCTTGGCTTGCTTCGGCTCATTCCCCTCCCCTGCTACACTTGGCTAGCAATCGCATACCACCTGCCATGTGGCAAAGCACCAGAAGTGATACGTGTACCACGGGTTGAAAAGCCCTGCTTTAACAAAGTGGTCCCCAACCTTTCTGGCTCCATGGACTGCTGGCGGCAAGTGGCAATGGTGGCAGGGGATGGTTTTGCATGCGTAATCTAGATCCTGCGCATGCACAGATGCAGTTTTGCGTACTCACCTATCGCTTGCGTGGACCAGTTCCCAACAGGTGTTGGGTTGGGGACGCCTGCTTTAACAGAGGGATCCGTAAAGATACATTTATTGGTATATAGAGAGAAGAGCAATGGAGAGCGCACACATTTGGCTAAGGTTGATGTTTCTGAGTTGGGGAAGGTAGTGGTAAATGACAGTGATATCCTCTCAAGCCTACAGTAGAACACATTCAGGTCATCTGCCAGTTGACGATTCTCTTCACTAAGGGAGGAAGATCTATTGTAACCAATGATGTTCTTCAGGCTTCTCCATACAGTTGTTGGTTCATTTGCTGAGAACTGATTTCTCAGCTTTTTGAAGTAGCTTCTCTTTACTACCCTGATCTCCCTTGTTAATATATTCCTGGCCTGATTGTTCTATCTCCTTTCCTATAAGCTCTTTGGTTCGAAGTAGCTGCTTGAGCTTAGCTGTGAACCAAGGCTTATTGTTGTTATATATACACAAGCTCTTGGTGAGCACACATACTGTATGTCCTCAAAAAAGCTAAAATATGTCACAGTATCAGTAAATTCATCCAAGTCCACTGAAGCAGTTTCAAAAAGTTAAAGGAACTGCATATGTTTAGTCTGCCAAAGTGATAACTGAGGTAGATATTTTAACAATCTTCAGAAATCTAAAAAGCTATAAAAGGAAGAGAATGGGTTTGCTCTGTGTTGCCCCTTGATAGAGAAATAGATTTAAAATAACAGTGTAATTACAAAAGAGAAATAAAGTGTTCATCTTTTAGAAAAATAAAATATATAAATAATAGATATCTCATTGGTAATACTATCTAAAAGACTTTGGTATAGCTTAAAAACTATATATTGTTCAGCATCACAAAGGGACTGTAAAAAAAACCCCTAATACAATTTCAGTCTGCATTAATTAGGTATGAAAAAAAAAGAAAACAGCCATGGTGGCGCAGTGGTTAGAATGCAGTAATTCTACTGACTGAAGGTTGATTCAGCCTTCCATCCTTCTGACATGGGTAAAATGAGGATCAAGATCAGGGGTGTTAAACTGCTGGCCTGCGGGCCAGACACATCATGAGGAAACCGCACCCATCCCATTGCCAGCAATGGGGGAAAAGCTCCGATATGTCACGCGATGTGACGTGACGTCGCAAGTTTGACATGTCTGATCTAGATTGTTGGGGGCAATATGCTGACTCTGTAAGAGAAGGCTGTAAAGTACTATGTAGAGGTATATAAGTCTAAGTGCTATTGCTATGATGTTACACTTTATTTGTGCTGGTCAGATGTGTCCACTTTTGAGCAGTCCAACACATGAAAAACATCAGACAACTGGAACAGATTGAGAGAAGCCCAAAAAGGATTCAATTCAATTCAGTTCAATTCAATTCAATTCAAACATATAAGAGAAAGGAACAAAATATTGCTGGTTATCACCTATAATTCTCAGTAAAAATTATTCCTAACGTCTCATCCATGATTCACCAAAGTTCCAAATTTGAATAATATCCCTTTATTTATTCTTGCAGCACTATTAGAAGAGCAGTGGAACTACCGTGTTTCCCTGAAAATAAGTCTGGGTCTTATATAGTTTTTTGGATCAAAAGATCCATTAGAGCTTATTTTCAGGGGATGTTTGTGGCTGCCAGCCCACTCCCTCCCACTGTCTGCTTGCCCTCGATTGCAATGGCTTATAAGACTTCCCAGGGCAGACGTTCAGGAGGCAAGGGCAGTGCTGGTGGAATGTGCCTTCAGGTGAGGAGAGTGGTGTGGACAGGCAAGGGAAGCTGAAGGACCAGGCGGCACAAGCCTCCCGTTGCCTTCCTCCGTCTGCCACACTTTCCTTTTGCAAGCAGACGAACCTTCCAGTCTCCAACAGTTCCCTATCCAGGCAAAAATTGTTTGGGCACCTATGGGGTGCTTGGAAATAGCGATTTGCTCCAAGCGCCCCATTTGTAGGTAGATAAAGCTTCCAGTTTCTGTCAGTTCTCCATCTGGGCAAAAAGAGTTTGGGCCTATGGGGAGCTTGGAAACAGCGATTTGCTTTGTTTCAAGTGCTCCATAGGCACCCAAACACTTTTGCCTGGATGGAGAACTGACAGAGACTGGAAGTTTCATCTGCTTGCAAAAAGGAAACAGTGTGGCAGGCAGAGAGAGGAAGCAAGGGAGGCTTGCACCTCCTAGTCACAGCGCAAGCCACAGGAGAATTGGTGGAGGAGGTGGTGGCGGCTGCCAGGGAGGTGATCTGCAGGGCAAATCAGGAGCAGCCAGGACCAAAGCAAGCCCCTCAACCAGTGACTGTTGCACAGTGGTAGAAGAGCCTTTTGCCATCACTCCCCTGGCTCCCAAACAGCGCGGGTGGGGGGACTAGGTAAGGTGACTGATCCTCCCCAGCCCTTCCTCCATAGCATGGCAGTCTGGTTTGGGAGGGAAGTGAAAGGGAAGAGAGGGGTGGGCAGCTGGGTTATTGAATGAGCGAGGGGAGGTCACCAAGTGGGGACTGGCCTGGCTGCAGGGGCCCTGAGGTAAGTGGGTACAGCACGCATGGGGCAGCTCCACCCACCTGACTCGCCTCACCTCATGGTGGCAGCACTGGTGCAATGGACTCTCCTGCACCATTGCAGCAGCAAGCAACCAGAATTTGGGACTAAGTGTGCAGACTCTTAACTTGGGCTTATTTTAGGGGTAGGGCTTATATTAGGCGCATGCTAAAAATCTGGGTAGGGCTTATTTTCTGGGTGGGTCTTATTTTCATGGAAACATGGTAGTGTTGCTTTTTATATCATCCAAAAGGCATTTTACCTTTTTTCTCTTAATTTTTTTTTGTAGGGAGAGAATAATGAGGAAATTATTATTTAAGTTTTGCTTTCTCTCTTTGACAAGGAACAATATCCTTCTTTAAGCAGAATACAATATTACAGAGTTACAAAATAACAGAGTTGGAAGGCACCATGGGAGTCTTCTAGTCCAACACCCTGCTCAAGCATTTTGGACAAATGGTTGTCCAATCTCTTCTTAAAACCTTCCAGTGATGGAGTACCTACAACTTCTGTAGGCAAGCCATTCCAAAGATTGTTCTCACTGATAGGAAATTTCTTTTTAATTCTAGGTTGAATCTCTTTTTGTTAAAGTTCCGTCCATTACTTCTTGTCTTGTCCTCAAGTGCTTTGGAAAATAGATTGACTCTTTTCTCTCCGTGACAGCCCCTCAAATATTGGAAGACTATCACCCCTATTCCTTCTCTTTTTTAGTCTAGATAAACTCAGTTATCACAACTGTTCATTGTATGGTTTGGTGTCCAGTCCCTTAATCATCTTTGTTGCTTTTCTCTGCACTTTTTCTAGTGTCTCAACATCTTTTCTGTATTGCAGTGACCAAAACTGGATGCAGTATTACAACTGTGGTATTACCAATGCAGTATAAATCAGTGCTAATAGTTCACTTAGCCTTGATACTATCCCTCTGTTGATGTAGCCTAGGACTGTATTGGCTTTTTTAGCTTTTCAACTGGTCTCCATTCATGTCGATAGCAGTTTCTCCTGATACAGGTAGTCCTCGACTTATGACCACAATTGAGCCCAAACTTTCTGTTGCTAAGTGAAACATTAAGTGATTTTTTTTGCGACCTTTCTTGTGAATCTGGCTTTTCCATTGAGTTTGCTTGTCAGAAGGGACACTGCAACTGTCATAAATATGAATCCATTGTCAAGTATCCGAATTTGATCACATGACCATGGGGATGCTACAATGGTCATAAGTGTGAAAACCAATCATAAGTTATATTTTTCAGTGTCATTGTAACTGAACTGTCACTAAATGAACTGTTGTAAGTCGAGGACTACGTATAGCAAACAGTAATTGTTTAAAAAAAATTCTGCCTAGGAGTAGGACAGGGAGTTAAAATTCCTTCTCCCAGCTGTTATTCACAAAACAAAAAGCTTACATGTAAAATATTATTATGCAATTGTCACCTCTACCATGCTCTTAAGTTTGAGAATTATACTTCTTTTGTTAAACTAGCGCTTATAGCATTTAAAAGATACAACAGATGAAAAGGAGCTCGGAGGAAGATGAGACAGGCGAGGCGTGAGGACAAACCCCTTTGATACTGGGCTAGAGGGACGCAGCTAGAGCCTGAGCCATCGGTCTCGAAGTCAGTTCATTGGCGAATCGATAGCATAATTGTCGATGTCCCCCTCCAAGTCGGGATGTCCTTAGAACGCCCGCACTTCTCTGCAACTGTGTTGTGGAACTGCCATCGCTAAAACGGATGACACTTAGACCTTCATGCTTACGATCCTTGCCGGGGCTGTTGAAGACCATCCCCCAACACCACTTCTGAGAGGAACAAAAAAATGTCCGTTACTTTTACCGGAACCCAAAATCTGGGAACCTCCGCTCTTGACCGGCGATACGATTGCACAGGAAACAGGCAAGAGAGTTCTTATAGGGATCCGGAACTTGGTTTTGCAGCTTCCGGCCAACTCAGTATAGTCTTGAGCAAGCAGGATACCGTATCTGTAGGTGTTGATCGTCCAAGAAGATGGTGCTTCTAACGATGATTGCGCGGGTGGCTGATGGGCTTCCTTTAGCGGCTTCTATGCAGGAAGATGAACAGGTGAGTGTGAGATACTGTGGGTTTCCCCCTCCTTCCTTTCTACTCAGGATTTAATTTCTCATTAAGTAATATATACAATGCAGCTTAAGCATTTAAAGTGTACTCACTAAATGATAGCATTGAAATTGAAAGATATTTAGGAATAAAACCAATGGGGTTGCTTAGGGTTAATTTTTCTTTATTTACTACGAAATGCTTGTTGTCTAGGTTAGAAATAACATTGTGAATTTTGCTATGTATTTATTGAAGTGTATAACAAAATTACAGCATTAGATAATGAGTCTAAATTGAGCTCATTCTCCCCCACTCCCACTTAGAGGAAGATGGATCATACAGTTAGGAATTTTTTTCTTTATTTAACCTGTTTAATGAATGCTACTGGCGAACAGGAATCTGCAGATATATACCTAGTTGATTTAATAAAGTGGACTATAGTCCACAAATGTTTGTTTTAAAATGCCATAAGATCCAAGTTTTGATCTGGTTGTTTTCTAATTATTCACCATAATTTGACTAAATTTGTTGAAGTATGTTGGAGATTTGTTTGTTGTTTGGGGGGCTTGTTGTTATTTTTTCATAGTCAGGTCGAGATTTGCAGCAGTATCAGAGCCAGGCCAAGCAATTGTTTCGGAAGCTCAATGAACAGTCTCCTACCAGATGCACATTAGAAGCTGGACCAATGACTTTTCAGTAAGTATAAATAGCAAATCTTGGTGAGTTTCTTAAACTTTAAGAGAAGCAACGTTAAGTATCTTTTTTAAAGCATAGTCTTGGAAGATTTTGGTGTGCTAAAGTCAGTTTTCAATTTATCAGCTTAATCCTTTGCAAAATTTACTCTGCTCACATTAAGGAGAAAGGTGAGCAAGGGACATGCATTTGTACATAAAACTATTTTATATTGATATGAGAGATCTGAAGAGAACTTCCAATAATTTTCATTTGCTGTTGAAAATTATACAATCTAAAAGCATAATTGTATCAAGCTAATAGTGGAACATAATGCTTGACAATATCCTTAGTTATTACAAATAAATATTGATTCAAGTAACTATGTAAGAGTTATTGGGCACTCTTCCCTCCAACTGAGATTCAGAAAGGCCTAAATGTAATCTGTAAGTAAGCCTTGTAAGTATTGTAAGCCTCAGAGGGTCTTGGATTCTTGAAGGAGCATTCAGGAATGTGAGTCAGTTCCTCAGTCTGGAAGAACTCAGCAGGTTCATAGAATTATGGAATTCTAGGCCCGGAATGGATCATAAGAATCATGTAGTCCAGTCCTCTGCAATGTATAGAAAAACTTATTAAACCATATGTCCACAGTTTTTCTTAAAAAATTGTTTTAAAATCTTTTCCTTAAAAAGTGATGTAAACCCCACAACTTTATAGTAGAATATTCCATTTTTGTACAGATCTTACCATCAGGAAATATTTCCTTGGGCTTAAATGAATTATTTTTCTTCTTTTCAATTCTGTTTGATTCTCGCTGGTGACTGCCTGAATAAGTCCCTGCAATTTCTTTTCAAGGTTTTCAGAATTGGTTTTCTGGGAGAAAGTGATTAGACCAGGGGTAGGCAACCTGGGCTCTTTTATGACTCGTGGACTTCAACTCCCAGAATTTCTGAGCCAGTATGGCTCAGCTTGGAAACCTCTCCCTTTTCCCTCAGCATGGCTGGCTCAGGAATTCTGGGAGTTGAAGTCCACAAGTCATAAAAGAGCCAAGGTTGCCTACCCCTGGATTAGACAAAGGTCACCCAGCTGGCTTTGTGCTAAAGCAGGACTAGAGCTCATAATGTCCCAGTTTCTAGCCTTAACTCTACACCAATTTAGCTCTCCTAAATAAAATTCAGGCAACTATAATTTGTATTTATTTTTGGTTTGTTTTTAGGAAAATAGTTCCTGCCCATTTTTCCTACAGTTTTCTTTTATGTACTTGATCATGGTTATCGTGTCTCCCCTAAGTCTTCTTTTCTGAACATCCTAAGTTCCATCAGCCTATTGCATAGGTTCCTCCCCTGAATCCATTTTAACTTGTCAATATCCTTTTAGAAGTGTGATCCCAGAATCATATATACTACTTTAGAAAAATCCACTAAAGTGGAGTAGAGAGGAAGAAGGTATTTCTTTGAGACAATGTTGCTTCTAAAGTGGCCAGGAATTGCACTAGCCCTTCCACCTGCCATATTTATACTGCTGAGTCATGTTCAGCTTATCAATGAATTCAACCAAGTCTTTTTCAGAAGTAGTATTTTCAAGACACGAATTACCCATTTTATATTTGTCTCCTATGTTTTTTCTCCCCAATGTAATATATTTCTGTTTGCAATTTGTGCTACTGAAATAACATTTTCCTTTAGGTATAAAAATAGCGGCAAAGTAGGAATTAAGTTCTTTTGCTTTTTTCATGGTAATTTACTAACATTTCTCCATCTGAAATAGGCAGTGAGTCCAGCAACCCATCTTCCATCTTCTTGCTATTAACATATTTAAAGAAAATCTTTTATTGGTTTTGGCTCTCTTGCAAGCTTTAGTTTGTTTTCTGCTTTTGCCTTTCTATTGTACATTTCTTTGGTTATAAACCTATAATCTTTTGCTGCTTATATCACCATACTGTAAGCTTTTAAGTGAACTTTGTGCTGCATCTTATCAAATTTGAGATAAGTTGTTCTCCACTTCTTTCTCTGCATTTTGAAAATCATAGCCAGTTTAGAAATATATTACAAAATATTTTACATTTTTTTTCTAAGAAAATGATATAGAAGGAGAACATCAAGAGAAAAGTTAAAGATGTAATAATAATTTATTAAACACGATGTTACCTGACTCTCAACAACTCTGGATCGCTGACAACAATCAAATAAATTATAATAATATTTAATATTTTTAATATTAAATTTGTTTGCCCCCATCTCACTGCAAGTTGATGCAGGGCAGTTTACAACATCAAAAAATCATATATATGTGCCAATATATAAAACTGCAATAAAATCACAATGAAAATACAGATTGTAACTAAAACTAAAGAATGGGGAGGAAAGGAACAGAACATATGGGGGAGAAGTGGGAGCCACTGTTAGTTGATCAAACAACCTCCAGTGTGGTACTTCCTCAAGCCAACTGGTAGAGGCAGGTGTTCAAGCTCTTGCAGAAGGTCAGGAGGGTGGAAGCCAATCTCATCTCAGGGGGCAGGATGTTCCAAAAGGCCAGGACCATAGCAGAGAAGGTTCTTTTCCTGGACCCTGCCAGTCGGAATTTTTTGACTGACGGCATGGGTGGGGCAGGCCTGTTCCATAGGGGTGAGATGGTTCTCAAGAAACCTGGACCCATGCTATGCAGGGCTTTATAGATAATAACCAACACTTTGAAATGCATCCGGAAGCAAACTAGCAACTAGTGCAGCTCTTGGAACAGCAGTGTAACATGGGCCACTCTAGGAGCCTCAAAGACTCTCTGCGCTGATACACTCTGCACTAGATGAAGCTTCCAAATGCTCTTCAAGATTAGCCCATTGAATAAGATCAATAAAACATAAGAGTTAAAGATAAAAGATGGCACGCTTGGGTGTGAGCTTTTCTCACCATTGTTCTTGTCTAAAATGCAGTAGAACTCTGAAGTAAGTATAATTTAAGGCTAAATATAATTTGTGTCTTGTAATATAGATTGGAATGCTGTTTGTATTGTGGCCACTGAAATCAGTAGTCCAAGGTAAGGGTTCATTTTCCTTCCAGGCTAACAATTGGCTTATATTTTCATTTATAGTTACATTATTGAAAAAGGAGTTTGTTATCTGATACTATGTGAAGCTGCTTTCCCCAAAAAAATGGCTTTTGCATATCTGGAAGATTTGCACTCAGAATTTGATGAACAACATGGAAAAAAGGTGCCAACGGTGTCCAGGCCCTATTCTTTCATTGAGTTTGGTGAGATTTATTTCTTTAGATTAATGATTTAAGGATAGTAGCTCAGGGCCAGCTCTTTAGTAATCTTAATGACCCTTCCTAGTTGGCTCATTCCACTTCTTTCTTTTAATAGGTTACTAATACATTCAGAATTGCATATCTAAATTATTCTCTGATTTCTGCTTCAACTGATGGGATAAAAAGATTGTGTGGCATATACATGAATTGATTCAAAGAGATAGAATAATATACCACAGTAAACAGTAATGTCTGCATTTAAAGTATTTCACATTTTATATTGTTCTGTCAACCTAGAAGGTAGACCAGACTAAAAAACCAATGCTATATAAGTTAGGACTTCTTTTCTAATAATAGCTATATTAATGTAATCTTGCAAGTCTAAATGTGCTTTACTCCTCCCTCATTTTTATTAGTGTGAGGTAGGGAGGGACTGAGACATTTACTCAAACTAGTTTCTTGGAAGAAACAGCTTATCTGATTGTTGCCTTGATAGCAGTTCTTCCTCCTATCCTTCAGGGCCATTTCCTATGTCATCTATATGTTTTGCTTTATTAGACTACATTTCATTGCAGTATCGGTAGTCCTCACTTAACAGTAATTGAAACTGCAGCAACTCTGTTGTTAAGTAATGTGGTTATAATGAGCAATGTCACGTGTTGTCACATGACTTGCAACAGCAATTGTGACATTCCGGTTGCCATTGTTATTTGAATCCTGCATGACTGTTAAGCATGATGTCATGATCACAATTTGCATCCTCCTGATGGCTTCCCCATTGACTTTGCTTGTTGGAAACTGGCAGCAAAGGATACAAATGGTGCTCACGTAACTGCAGAACGCTGCAACTATCATCATTGTGAGCTAGTTGCTGAATACTGAATTATGGTCATGTGACCACAAGGTTGTCAAGACTGGTTATAAGTCTCCTCATTCAATGCTGTCATAACTTCAGCCACTGTATGAGTGTTCATTAAACAAGGACTACCTGTACTTGAGAAGTTTTATTTTACTAAACAAGAGGTAGATAATTTAAACTGAATATAGGATAACCAGGTTATATTGTGGTTAATGACTATATTTGCTATCAGTATAGTTACTGAACCCTGCTGGGGAAATTAACAGACAAGATGTTCATTGTATTTTTTTCCCCTAGAGCAGTTCTTTCTCCTGTACCCACCCTTTTTTCCATTCCTTGTAATAAGTTCTCTCTATGGCATGATTTGAGAATACAAATTGATTTAAGAATTTGGAAAGAGAATACTCTTATATGAACAATTATTTTTTATTCCAGATACCTATATCCAGAAAACCAAGAAACTGTATATAGATAGCCGTGCAAGAAGAAATCTTGGGTCTATTAATACAGAGTTACAAGATGTACAAAGAATCATGGTAGCCAACATTGAAGAAGTCTTACAACGAGGCGAAACTCTTTCAGGTACAGGGATCTATAAACCAGATGTTTTCAATTTTTTTCAGGCCATAGATCCTGTTCTATGAACTTTCTTTTTTTTATGCTCTATCTTACTATTATAGATCCCACAACTCTAACCCATCTTATTATTGTGGAATCCTACGGTTTCACAGACAGTTTGCAAAACTATAGCATGAACTATTGCCCATTTTGGGAGAAGTTTAAATATATGGTTACAGAATAAAACTGGCAAACCACTTTGCATAAAATAATACTTCCTGTAGATCAGGGCTTTGCAACCGGTGGTACATGTACCACTGGTGGTATGCGACCACCTGGATGGTGGTACGTGGCATCGCCTTCCTCCCCCCGCGACGTCGCCTTTCTCCCCCCCCCACTCCGCTCCTTCCCACCTCACTTGTTTGTGGGAAATATGCTGCTTGGCGGCAGCCTGCATGAACTCTACTGAATGTGCCCTGCAGGAGGCGCATGAAGAGTGCAAGCGCATAGCAAGGCCCCGCCCTCCCCAGGGACTCACTGTGCAGCAACCGGATTGACTTCTTCTCGTGCATGCGTGTCAGCGGGATCCATATTGCCCTTCCCCTCTCTCTTCTTCACAACAATCGCTAGTCTGACAGAAGCGCAAATCAGCTATAGCCCGGTGCTGATCCTGGAACTTCTGCTAACTTAGCAAGTGGCATGTTTTCCGGCGAAGCGTGAGCAAGTGAGCTGGGCAGGAGCCCAGGATCGGGGCATGCAGCTACAGCTGATCCGCACTTCTGCAGAGTAGCCCAGAAGCGCAGATCAGCTGTAGCTGCTCTCCTGGGCTCCCGCCCAGCTCACTTGCTGGTGCTTTGCTGGAAACATGCCACTGTCAAGACGTCCTCCCTGGAGCCCAGGAAAAGAAGCCAGTAAGCAGGAACGGTTGACAAACGGCTTTTACTCTGTGGAAAAAAAAAGTTAATGCTGGGAGTGAACTGCTCCCAGTGCTTTATATGGCCTCTCCACGCGCAAGCCCCACCCCCCAGCCCACAAGGCACGATCTGGCCTGCATAGTTCAAAAAGCAATCAGCTGGGACGTTGCTTCCTTTTCACATTCCAGCTGGCTCACAGGCAGGCGTCCAGACTTAGGTAACCCCCCCTCCCTGTCCTGCTGCCTCCTGCGGCACAGTGCAGCTTTGCATCCCATGCCTCCGTGTTCCAATGCCTCTGAGGTATGGACCGTTGGCGTGGTCCTTATTGGCTGCCGACGCACTTCTCTCCGGCGGACGTGCAGGCCCTGGCAATGGCTCCAGCTGAGGAGGCCACCGTCAGGAGTTCGGACTGGTGAGGGTGAAAGGGAGGCTGCTGCAGCGCCGCATTCCACGCATCAGCTGGTGAACCCTGGACTCTGCCTACCAGCTGGGCTTTCCGGCGGTGGCTCCGATCGGTGTGGAGGGTGCTGGAGAGGGAAGGCGGCTGCCTGGTTGTCCAGCAATGCCTCCAGGTGGCGTGGAAGGCGGGAGGGAGGCGGCGGCTCAGCAGACGGGTCTCCGTCTGCCCGTGAATGTCAGGCCTGCGGAGCTCGACAGCCGCTTGCTAATTAGTAGAAGTGCGAATCAGCTGTAGCCCAGAGCTGATCCTGGCACTTCTGCTAAATTAACAAGGGCAAGTTTTCCAGCAAAGCGCCATCAAGTGAGCTAGGCAGAGCTTGCCTCTGCCTCTGTGCATGCACAGGCAGGTTTGGCGTGTCGCCATGGCCACCGGCAGCACAGCCACCAGCCACGCTGGCAGCCTGTCCCCCTCCCCTTGTCCCTTCCTGGGTATGGAGGGGGGGAGGAAGGAAGGGACAAAGGGAAGGAAGTAAGGGACAATGAGAGAGGGAAGGAAGGAAGGAACAATGGAAGGGAAGGAAGGGACAAAGAGGGAAGGAAGGAAGGAAGGAAGGAAGGAAGGAAGGAAGGAAGGAAGGAAGGAAGGAAGGAAGGAAGGAAGGAAAGAAGGAAGGAAGGAAGGAAGGGATAATGAGGGAGGGAGGGACAATGGGAGGGAGGGAGGGAGGAAGAGACAAAAGGAGGGAAGGAGGAAGCGACAAACAGGGAGGTGAAGGAAAGGAAGGAAAGAAGGAAGGAAGGGACAATAGGAAAGAGGGAGGGAGGGAGGGAGGGACAAAGGGAGGTGAAGGGAAGGAAGGGAAGAAGGAAGGGACAATGGGAGAGGGAATGAGGAAGGGACAAAGAGGGAGGTAAAGGAAAGGAAGGAAAGAAGGGACAATGGGAAAGAGGGAGGGAAGGAGGAAGGGACAAAGGGAGGTGGGGAAGGAAGGAACAATGAGAGAGGGAAGGAGGAAAGGACAAAGGGAGATGAAGGGAAGGAAGGAAGGGACAATGGGAGAGGGAAGGAGGAAGGGACAAAGGGAGGTGAAGGGAAGGAAGGAAAGAAGGAAGGAAGGAAGGGACAATGGGAGAAAGGGAGGGAAGGAGGAAGGGACAAAGGGAGGTGAAGGAAAGGAAGGAAAGAAGGAAGGAAGGGGCAATGGGAGAGAAGGGAGGGAAGGAAGGCAAGCACCCACCCCAGTCCCATCCCCCTCCACCAGAGACCCACTGATTCCCCCACACGTCATAAGTATGAATCAGTTGCCAAGCATCTGAATGTAAATCACAAGACCCTGGGGATGCTGCAACAGTCATAAGTGTGAAAAATGGTCATAATTCACTTGTAACTTCAAACAGTCACTAAGCGAATTGTTGTAAGTCGAGGACTACCTGTACTTTCTCATTTTTTCTTTTTCTTTTTTTTTGGGTCAAGTTTTTGATACCTTGCTGGGCGAGTGTGGGTACTCGGATATTGCCTTATCCGAAAAGTGGTACAATGGGTGAAAAGGTTGAAAAGCCCTGCTGTAGATAATGAAGGACCATCCTAATCCTCAAGAGGCAACAAAAGATGCATACTGAGAAAAAACAAATATGGAATGTGCAGTTACTCTGCTGTTTTAGATACCGTATGAGGCCCTTTTAATTTTTGTTTGTATTTTAATAGCATGTACTTAATTCCTCTGGCAATTAACCTGAAACATAGAATGCAAATATATACTCTTATTTTGTAAAAACCAACAGACCATATAGACTAGGAAAATTATAATTTTGTGAGAAGTTCTAAATCATTTGTGATCTTAAGTTTCAGTGACAATATTTCATGCTGAGGAATCAGCGCAATGTATAATAAGCATGCATTAATAGCACTGCTTATTGAACAGTATTTTTTTAATCCATCGATTGGAGTTGTTCCTTCCAGCTTGGCAATAGTTTGAGAAATGGTGTACCTTGTCAATTATTTTTCTTGAGAGAAATAAAAAGCAGGCAGAGGCAGGCAGGAACCAGTAGGTGATTGGAAATAGTCAAAAACATGGCAAAGCCCATGATCAGATTATAGGGAACAGGAAAAGATGCTACTGCCTAATTCTCAGTGTCCCATCTGTCAAGATTTTCCAGCCCACCTAGTGGCTTTCATTCTTTTCCTTAGCATTATTCTTTTGTCTGTGGTGGGGTAGTTTATTCTGTCAACTATACATATGTAGCTTATTCTGATGCACTACTTTATAGTTACCCTTATTGCATCCTTTCTTTTTGCTAGAGGAGACAATAAGAACATATATTTCCCAATAGAAATACCCTCATCTTACCTGTCCATGCCCTTCTTCTACTTGTTCACTATTTATCTGTTTTAGTCAGTGATTAAGCAAGCAAGCAAGCAATTATCTTGCCTAACTGAAAGCTGATGCTAGCTGAAGAATGCAACCAGACAGAGCAGCAGGTGTCTGTTATTGCTGTGTTCTATTATTTTATTTGACCCATGGACAAATAATTGGTATGGGGAAAACAGTTTCTGCTTACATAACAGAGAGCAAACAATTTCTGTTTTTTTCTAACTATTATTTCTGAGCACGAGGAAAGGTCCACCAGAGTTAACTTAGTTAAACATCTTTCCCAAACTGGAAGTAATTATGGAAGTGTAGATTCCTACCATCATGTAAAACAGATAGTACCATCAAGAGGTGGATTTGCAGTTGGCTGACCAATCGCATTCAAAGCGTAGTCCTTAATGGAACTACATCTACCGTGTTTCCCCAAAAATAAGACCTACCCTAATTTTGGGAGGTGGGCCTAATATAAGCCCTACCCCCAAATAAACCTAGTTAGGACCCTGCCCACTCCATCCCACTTCACTGCTGCAATGGGGCAGGAGAGTGTGTGTCGCGCTGCTGCCATCACAACAAGGCAAGGCAAGTGGGAGAGGAGATGGAGCTGCCCCACATGCCCCTCACCCGCTTACCTCAGGGCCATCCCAGCCAGGACATTCCTTGCTCGGTGACCTTCCCTTTCAATCCCCTCCCAAACCGGACTGCCATGCTACGGAGGATGGGCGGGGTAGGCCCGGTCCCCCTCCACCATTTCGGAGCCAGGGGGAAGTGACAGCGAAAGGCTCCCCTACCGCTGTGTGCTGCTGGAGGGGCTTTCTTCGGTTTTGTTCCACAGATCACCTGCCCAGCAGCAGGTGCCACTTTCTCTGCCAAATCTCCCATTGCTTGCGCCATGACCAGGCAGCACAAGCCTCCCCTGCTGCCTCCCTCCGCCAGCCTTCCGTTACCGCCATTGGAGAGAATGGGGAGGGGAGCAGCTCTGTGCAGCAATGCAGAGTGGAGAAGAGGACTTGCTTGCCACCCTGCATCTCCCTTCTCCGTCCTGGAAATGGCAGCCTCGTTTTCTGCCACTTTTCCTCCCAGTGCTGCTGTAGAGTTTGGCGCACCACCACCCAGCTCCTTTATCTTCCTGAAAGCATTTCTTCACTAACCTGCTTTCCAGCTCTGTCGCGTTTCTCTCCTGCTGCAGGGAAATGAAGTTTGTGGAACTAAAAAAGTTCAGTCAGACCTTTCAACTTCACGAGATCTTTTCTTTTTCCACAAGAAGTTGGAAGTCTGATTGAAGTTTTTTTAGTCTCACAAACTTCATTTCCCTGCAACAGGAGAGAAACGCGACAGAGCTGGA